CTGATTACATGGGCTGGATCCGTGGGGCTCGGTGGGCGGAGCATGGCGTTGGTTCATGACGCAGTACCACGGAGATTATTGTCCAGGTTTGACGGCACTCAGCACCATCTGAACTGAAAACGGAGGCACCCGCAGCTCCTTCCTGTTCATTAAATCAAATCAAAACATTTAACAGAAACTTTTATTTTCAAAACTTAAATTTAGGAGCATCCAAGGGTTGGTGCCCTCTAACGTTCTGCTCTGACACCCTCACCTGCTGTTGGTGCCTATCAGACAGGAACCTGTAGCATCCCACCTGCACAACAAGGGACTAACCAGAACCACTAAAAATACCCTCACAGGGATTAGAACCCTCAACCTTACAGTTCAAAGACGTGCTCTCACAAAGACCTTATTTCCATGAGTTTCTTTTTTTATTTCCTTTCCTTTCTTCTTCTGTTTTATTTAACCCCTCCTTTACTCCCATAATTCTTTCTTTCTTTCTTTCTTTCTTTCTTTCTTTCTTTCTTTCTGCCTTTCTGTCTTTCTTTCTTTCTTTCTTTCTTTCTGTCTTTCTGTCTTTCTTTTGTCTTTCTTTTGTCTTTCTTTCTTTCTTCCTTCCTTCCTTCCCTCTTTCTTTCTTTCTTTCTTTCTTTCTTTCTGTCTTTCTTTAGTCTTTCTTTATTCTTTCTTTCTTTCTTTCTTTCTTTCTTTCTTTGTTTCTTTCTTTCTTTCTTTCTTCCTTCCTTCCTTCCCTCTTCCTTCCTTTCTTTCTTTCTTTCCTCCATCTTTCTTTCTTTCCTCCATCTTTCATTCTTTCTTTTTTCTTCCTTCCCTCTTTCTTTTTTCTTTCTTTCTGTCTTTTTTCTTCCTTTCTTTCTTTCTTTCTTCCTTCCTGCCTTCCCTCTTTCTTTCTTTCTTTCCTCCTTCTTTCATTTTTTCTTTCTTTCTTTTTTCTTCCTTCCCTCTTTCTTTTTTCTTCCTTTCTTTTTTCTTTCTTTTTTCTTCCTTTCTTTCTTACTTCCTTCCCTCTTTCTTTTTTCTTCCTTTCTTTTGTTTTTCTTTTTTCTTTCTTTCTTTCTTTCTTTCTTTCTTCCCTCTTTCTTTCTTTCTTTCTTTCCTCCTTCTTTCATTCTTTCTTTCTTTCTTTCTTTCTTTCCTCCTTCTTTCATTCTTTCTTTTTTCTTCCTTCCCTCTTTCTTTTTTCTTTCTTTTTTCTTCCTTCCCTCTTTCTTTTGTCTTTCTTTTTTCTTCCTTTCTTCTTTCTTTCTTTTTTCCTTCCTTCTTTCTTTCTTCATTCCTTCCTTCCCTCTTTCTTTCTTTCTAGCTTTCTTTCTTCCTTCCCTCTTTCTTTTGTCTTTCTTTTTTCTTCCTTTCTTCTTTCTTTCTTTCTTTTTCCTTCCTTCTTCCTTCCTTCCTTCCTTCCCTCTTTCTTTTGTCTTTCTTTTTTCTTCCTTTCTTCTTTCTTTCTTTCTTTCTTTCTTTCCTCCTTCCCTCTTTCTTTCTTTCTTTCTTTCTTTCTTCCCTCTTTCTTTCTTTCTTTCTTTCTTTCTTTCTTTCTAGCTTTCTTTCTTTCTTTCTTCTTTCTAGCTTTCTTTCTTTCTTTCTATCGTTCTATCTTTCTATCTTTCTATCTTCCTTTCCTCTTTCTTTCTTTCTTTCTTTCTAGCTTTCTTTCTTTCTAGCTTTCTTTCTTCCCTCTTTCTTTCTTTCTAGCTTTCTTCCTTCCTTCCCATCCATGTATCCACTCTTCCACTCAGCTGCTGTTGTATGATCGTTTCAGTGTTACCAAAGCAAAGAGTTTTCTGGTGAATAAAACCTAAACTAATCCAGTTCGGTTCCACTGAGCTCAGATGTTCTCCTGCAGCCACGATCAGCTCATGTTTGGAAACCTCAGAAAGGCACCTGTAGTTACACTGGGGGGTTTGTCTGAGTGAATCTACACCTTTACCTTTTGTGTTTGACCGTTAAAGAGTGTTAAATCCCATGCACCTCCAGTGCTGCTGCTGTTCTCATTGGCACATGCTGGACTTTTACAGTTTTGCATCCTCAGCGTTGCTTCATTTGCAAATGGGAGGAAAATTAATCAGAAAGTCATGTAAGAGTCTCACGCTCTGTTTCAATTCTCAGAAATGTTCCTTGACTTCTCCCATGTCAGACATCACATCTGCAGCCTCTTCCTGTCCGTTGTATCAGTGGCCACACGCTATCGGCACGGAACAAACCTGATGTCAGTTCCTTGTGACGCTTAGATGTCGTAAGATCGGGAGGGTTCTTGAGAAAAGCAGAAATCTAATACGAAAGCCTGAACAAGGGAGAAGTGGAAACATCTTTTTGTGTGTGGGTCCATGGTGCACTAGCGGGTTGGGCTTTTTCAGGCCAAAGATTATATTCATGTTTATTTATTTGGCAGACGCTTTGAACCTGTAGGGCACGTTGTGATCTGTGGGGAAGTACCCGGAGGAAACCCACACATGCATGTGGAGAACATGCAACTCCATGCAGAAAGGCTGCAGCCGAGTTTGGAACTTGCAACTGTCATGATTTGAGGGACGGATCTGACCCAAGACATTTAGAATCACGCACAGGACTAGTGGGTTAGTAAAAAAAACAAAAAAACAATTTTATTAATCAGGAGGAACTCAGGGGGCCTGACAACGTCAGGATCAGGGCAACGTGGTGTGAGGGGCACCGAGCCTGAGGTGGATCCAGGGGTCGAGGAGGGGCCTAGAATCCAGGAGGTTCCAAGTAGGTGAGAGGCAGGAGAGCGGTTCGATCCCGAGAAGGAGGAGAAGACGAGGTTCAGAATGATATCCAGGAGAGTTATGGCTTAGAGATGTGGAATGTGAGGAGCTCCTGGAGGGTGACAAAGCAAGAGTCAATCCACAAGTCACAAAGTAAAAACTAGAGTTTATCCTAAAGACCAAGTTGGCACAAGCTTCCCAAAAAAGAGTAATCATCCGGCGAGTTGAAGGTGCCTCTCTCCTCCCCTTATACACAGCCAGAGTGGGGAAAATAGGCTCCAGCTGTGCAGCTCTCCAGCACCGCCCACCTGCAGGAGTAGCTCAGAGAAGCTAACTGAGCAGGGCTCACCTCAGGTTGTGACAGCAACCTTCTTGCTGCGAGGCTGATTAACATGTGATTGAATGAGCAACACAGCTGATTTGGTTTGGTTTGGTTTAGCCACAGGGAGTTTAGTCATCTCATCCCAGCTTCAAGATTCCAACAGTTTCTGGGAATTTCCCATTATTATAATAACTATTAAATCTGTTAAATAAACCAACGAAACATTTTAACACGCGTCTCAAAGAGAATCAAACCCTGAGAAAACAATTATGTCCAAAGAAAAGAAACAATGATGAAACAAATGTTCATTTTTTGTTTACGATTATTAAAGTTGAGACGGATGTTTCTGGGTGCGCTGTCTCCATCCTGAGCAGCTCTGGGCTGGAGGCGGAAATATCTAAACCTAAATATCACGTTTATTATTAGTCTTATCTCTCTCTGCTGTGTGTGTGTGTGCATATGTGTGTGTGTGTGTGTACGCATGTCTGTATGTGCATATGTGTGTGTGTTGTGTGTGTGTCTGTATGTGCATGTGTGTGTGTGCGTATGTGTGCGTGTGTGTATGTGTGCGCGTGTGTGTCTGTATGTGCATATGTGTGTGTGTGTGTTTGTATTTGTGTGTTATTTATATACATATATATATGTGTATATATATATATATATATATATATATATATATATGTATGTATATATATATATATATATATGTGTATATATATATATATGTATGTATATATATATATATATGTATGTATATATATATATATATATATATATATATATATATATATATGTATATATATATATATATGTATGTATATATATATATATATGTATGTATATATATATATATATATATATGTATGTATATATATATATATATGTATGTATATATATAATATATATATATATATATACATATATATAATATTACATATATAATATATTATATATACATATATTATATATGTATATATATCATATATTATATATATGTATATATATCATATATATATATATATATATATATATATTATATGGGGCTGCATGGTGGTGCAGTTGTTAGCACTGTTGCCTCGCAGCACGAAGGTTGCAGGTTCAAAACTTGGCTGCGGCCTTTCTGCGTGGAGTTGCGTGTTCTCCCCATGCATGCGTGGGTTTCCTCCGGGTGCTCCGGTTTCCCCCACAGATCACAACATGCTCTATAGGTCATAAATTGGAAGTCGCTTTGGATAAAAGTGTCTGTCAAATAAATAAACATAAACCTTTCAAAATAAAATAATTGGGTGCTTCACCAGAACAATGATAAAAATGTTCTCTGGCAGAGGACCCGAGCTTGGAAAGATGATCTCTATTGTGGTGTTCAGCACTTTGGGCTTCTGTTAAGGTTGTGGGAGGTGCGTTCTTTATAAATAAATAAATAAATAAATAAATTAAAGAAATAACAATCTCAAGTTCAGAGTAGGACAGAATGGGACTCAGCTTAGCGATGTTCCTGAGATGGAAGAAGGAAGACCGAACAGTTTAGGGTTCAAACTGTTATCTTAAAGCTATACTTAAATATTAGGTAAGCATAAATAATTTCATATGACAGTAGCCTAGGCCTATAGCTCTCAGTGTGCTCTGATGTAAAAGCAGAATGTCATTGTGGAACATGTCTAAATGATGCAGTTTTAACAGACATTTACATTTACTGCAACAAATCCAGGCAAATTGGATTCACGTGAATTAGATGCGTTTTTCATACTTTACACAAAATCAAAACAAAACTGTGTTAAATTGGAGTAAAGTGAATATACCTATGCTTAGAGATGTAGCAGAAAGCTAAGGAAGGAGTGAGTAGAGTCCCAAACATGAATGCACCCCGGGTAAAACCCCTGTAACCCCAAACTGACTTCCTATCTGGGGGAGACGGAAACTCAGAGTTCCGAGCTCGCTGTGGGTCCCTGAAGGCTCCCGCTAGCTAAGCTAAACTGAAAGTTGCACCAGCAGCCGCTTCAGCTCCTCCCGCAGCTCTGAGCCATGTCCCGGGGCAAACTGCGGCTTTTTTCAGGATGTGAGTGACTGAGCCGTGACTCAGGAAGATGTAGAAACCCCCACCGCTGATGTCAACACGGTTCTTTCCTTTATTAGGCAGAACTTTTTTTGTTTTGTTGTGAGCTCTAACAGGAAGTTCTCGAGTGAAGGATATATTTTATCTGGTCAGAGAAAAGTGTTCTTGGGTGTGTAAAATCATGCTGGAAAAGTTTTCTCGTTGTTTCTCCGCGAAGGAGAAGAAACTTTGTCCCTGGACATCCGCCGCGGTAGCCGTGGTCGTCCTCGGCTTGTTGACATCGAGCTGCTGCGCAGAAGAGGCGTCCTGCCACGGAGCTTACGACCTCTACTTTGTTTTGGACAGGTAGGTTCCTTTCTTCTACGTTGGTCAGCCTTGAAGCGGAGAACGAGATTTTTCTGCTCCAGCTGTGGCGCTTAAAGGGACTGAGACGTTTTATCACAAATGTTAACTTTAGTCACTAATGTCCTAAAACCTGGCAGCTAATCTGGGCACAATTCCAGCGGTTTCTGAAGGGTCACATATTCCTGTACAACACCTGCAGCTGCATAGCGGGTTTCAACATATTTGGTTTTCACCCAGAAGCATCCAGATGTGTGGCTGTAAAACATGCCACTGAATATGATTGGCTCTTTCTGGACGAACATCTGGATGCTTTAATAAAATATTCATTTATTGTTGCTGATTCATTAGAAGTCCAGGTGGAGAGAACTTATCACAGCAAAGTTAATGCTGCTCCACAACCACTTCCTGTCTAGGCCCCGCCCATTCTAGTATTCTATGTGCACTAGTGTAGCGCCTTTCTACGGTGCCTGTCTGGTGAAATTGAGGAGAAAAAGTAACTCGTGGCCACGCTTTAATAACTCATCACAAATTACTTTTTTTTCTCAATGTCACCAGACGGGCACCGTCCCTTTCTGAGTCGGAGGACTCCAGAACACTTTACACTACAGTATATCATTCACACGCTAGTGGTGATGAGCTACATTATAGCCACAGCTGCCCTGGCACACACTGATAGAGGCGAGTCTGCCTTACAGGCGCCACCGGTCGCTCCAACCAGCATCAACACACCGGGAGGGTGAAGTTTCTTGCAGAAGCAGGGATTGATCCAGCAACCCTTTGATTACTGGACCACTGGCTGTATCTCCTCAGCTGCCCAAAATAGGACTGGATGTGCTTTTTAATGGAAGAAGGTTTTATTGCCTTATGAGAATCACAACATTAGGAAGCTGCTGCGGTTTTTGGTGCAGGAAAAATAAACAATGAGAAAAGTTAGAATTTAGAAATAAACACAATAATACAGGGAGACGATAATTAGAGAAGCAGCTACTCTATACAAGTCAGTGTAGCTACAGATCAGAGCGGGTCAGTTCAGGCACAAACACAACACCGGGTCATGTGACTGGAACAAAGCAGCTGGAGTGGGCGGGTCTACTATTGTTCATGAGACAGACAGCAGAGGGGAAGAAACAGTTCAAACCCTTTATAGAATGTAATGCCTTTTATCGATAATTTATAGAATGTGTGTGTGTGTGTGTGTGTGTGTGTGTGTGTGATTTATATGTGTTAAAACAGATGTGAAACCAAATCATGTAAAATAATCGTGGTAATTGTGGGACTGTGATTATTTCTCAGACTATAATCGTACCACCGACATTTATAATCGTTGCAACTCCACAAATAACACAAGCCTGGAGAAGATCTGATATGTGGTGGAGTTGCTAATGCTAACATTTAGCTTCTACTAGCTGAGACATTCTCTGTTGTTTCCTGGACTAAACCAACACTAACCTTCCCCGCCGTCAGTCCAGATGGGTGAGTCCATGAATGTTAGTGACAGTGTGACGTAGATCTGTCAGGATTTGCTAATCCTAGAGTTTCACTGTCTGTTTTCTATCAGAAGCTAATGCAGGAGATAGGTGTAGAAGACTATTTTCATGTTCAGCCTGCATGAAACACTCAGAGTGACCCGTTAAGAGTCAGGAATAATCATTAGACCATGTTTTTCAGTGTTCCACAGTAGGGTTGTCATGGTGTGAAAATGTAACCTCACGGTTATTGTGACCAAATTATCATGGTTTTCGGTATTATCGTGGTATTTTTTTTTAAACGTGTTACATTGTCAGACCTCAAGTGGAGGAGTTTAAGTATCTCGGGGTCTTGTTCACGAGTGAGGGTAGGAGGGATCGGGAGATCGACCGGCGGCTTGGTTCGGCGTCTGCAGTGATGCGGACGCTGAGCCGATCTGTCGTGGTGAAGAGGGAGCTGAGCCAGAAAGCCAGGCTCTCGATTTACCGGTCGATCTACATCCCAACCCTGATGAGCTGCTGCACAGGTGAACCAACCACTGAATCAAGCAGAGAAACAACTAAAACATGCTGCATACCGGCCCTCCAGGACTGGAATTGAATTCCCCTGTACAGAAATGATGACGTGATGTTTCTGTCATGTCTCCTAGCCCATGCATAAACAAAGCAGAGCCATGTTGTGTTGAAGGAACAGCTTGTTTTCCTCTGCAGGCGGTTTCCTCTACATACAGCAGGCTGCCTCAAGCTGGACTTAATGCTTTGAGAGGTCAATAAACACAAACCTCGCATCAAATATGTGTCCTTTCACTGGTGTGCAGCAGCTGTTTGGCTTGTGTCCCAGCTGGAGATAAATCCTAAAGGAAGGAAACACAAACAAAGCTGGTTGCTTTGGTCTTCAATGTGAGAAGAGATAAAGTATCATTTGATTGGTTTTCCATTAAAGTGAGTTTTGGCCTTGGTCCCTCGAGATGCTGAAGGAGATTAGATGGTAACTGTGTGGAATAAGTGCTGACCATCAGAATACAACTGTTCTCTCCCTTCAGCATGAGGGTGGAAGTGACCACCAGTAGTCTGTTTGCATTAATCACAAATATGATTACACCTTGGTTTAGCGGAGTATTTTAAACCCACATTTATTATTTAGTTGGGACTTTCCGCTGTAATTAAACCTTCGAAGGCGGCGATGAGCCTCTGAAGGGTTTTTGTGATTGTGTCATCAGTTGGAACGGATTTTGGCACAGCGCCACCTCCTGTTTGTGCATGCGTTCTGGAGTGGAGATTCAGACGTACAAAGCCTTTACGTTGAGTCGGCTCAGCAAAAGTCCTGTAGTACAGTGTTTTAGGAGTTCACAGCTTCCACACAAACTGGTTTTACTCCAGTCCTCCCCCAGACTGGAAGAGAGCCATCCAATGGGACTGCTGCTCCCCCGACCCAGTTCCTGACTTCATCTAAATCACAAAATTACAGGATGATGGCCAGTTTATTTTATCTCTACTGATAAAATAGTTTCACTGGTTTCCTTCATGTCAGCAGTAACCCCTGAAGGAGTTTCTCCATTGTGACACCACTGAGCATGTGCAAACCTTTATTTTTAAACCTTCAACCTTTTATTTTTAATAAAACTTCTGCTTTTCCATCTTTTTTATTCAACATCTCCCTAAAGTCAAGCTGTACTTTTTATAAACTGAAGCTCATGGAACATGAGTAGATGGCTGCATGCTGGTGCTGTTGCCTAGCAGCAAGATGGTTGCAGGTTGCAGGTTGAAAACCCATCTGTGACCTTTTCTGACTGGAGTTAGCATGTTCTTCTGGCCTGGCAGGCCTATATATGTGAATATCCAGTCTGGACAGGGCCCAGTGTTTGAGCGCCGTCCATGAGTGCGCTCGAGCGGGGTGGGGGGAGTAGCCTCCTGTAGGGCTGCAACAACGAATCGATAAATTCGATGAAAATCGATTACTAAAAGCGTTGGCAACGAATTGCGTCATCGATTCGTTGTGTCGCACAACTCTTCCAAAAGCGCCCCCCCCCCCCCTTCCCGCCCGCCGTTGCGCGCAGACCAGAGCAAGTCAGATCAGCGCGAGGGAGAGCCGGCAGATCAGCGCGAGGGAGAGCCGGCAGACTTGCGCTGCTGCGAACCGGTTCCGCATTGTTGCACAGCGATCCAGGCAGCTGCTTCCAGCGCACGGTCCATTCTCAAAGTGGCGCAACCAAAAAACTATAATTAGCACACGATCGTTCATGTCCGCACATGTTCTCTATTTTCTGTCTTATTTGTGCCTGAAGCGCGCTACTGCGGAGCTCATCACCTGTGCTGCGGTGATGTCACCTCACGCAGCATCGAAAACGCGCTCTCCGCTTTATGGTCAGGAGATCCCTTTGATCTGCTCAAAAGTAACTGATGAGGTGAAAAGGTAAGAATCCAGGCAGCAGTTTTTCTGGAGAATTAAGAGGAGATGCAGGAAGATGAGAGACAGACAGGACAGGAAAATAGTTCAATAAAAACAAGAAAACAAAACAAAGTGTTGAAAAGTAAAATGTAGGTAGATTTATCTCCACTACACGTTTTTACCAGTAAAAAACAATAAGTTATACACATGTTATATTTATACATCTGATACAATTCAGATCACCTTCAAAACTCAGTCACACACCCAGGGCCGTTTCAAGACATTTTGGGGGCCAAGGCAAAATGCCCCCCCCCACCCCCCCAATAACTGGGCTCCCCAGAAGCCTCTGTGTAATTCATGCCCTCTCCAGTAGTGTTAGTTATATGGTGTTTATAAAAGCCCCTCAGACATTACTGACATGTTCTAATATTATCAGATAAAAAACTAAATTATCAGACATGCTGTCTCATCTGCTTCTTTTATAAACTTGCAAAAAGTAACAAAACAATTTGAAAGCCAGTATTTGTGGATTCTCTGAAAGTTTCCATGGAGTGTGTGACAACTTATTTTTTCATTGATCCTATCGTCTAATCTCACAGCTGAAACAAGCATCCTTAATAATCTGTGCACAGGAAGCTTACCGATGCTGTAGTAAAACAAAAGGTATTATAATTTATTATTAATAAAACCTTGTTGCAGCACTAAAGCAGAAAAATTAGATTTTGCATTAAATATGCAAAATATTTACATATGAATTGTTTTAGAGCCCTTTAATTGGCAGAATCTGATATTAATTTAGTTCTTACAAAAAATGGGTCCCAACATGGATTGTGTGGCGTTGCCATAGTGTGACGTCATAGGCACAGATCCCTGTCCTCTTGTTTGGAAATGGAAATATGGTCACCCTACATTAAACAAACTGTCCACCCGGGCTTTTGCGCTGCACAGAGACGCTTCGCTGCCTACGACTGAACGTCAGTTGAGAGTCAGTCTCATGCAGAATGACCAATGAAGAGAGGGCCTCAAGTTAAGACCCTTTCCTCATTGGTCAGTCCACACGAGGTGGGTCAAAGGTTACTCTGGGCGGGTTACGTGTTGTCAGGCATTCAAGTATTGAGTATATTTACTGCATATTACAGTAAAAT